TACTTCCTGAATGGACGCAGATCAACTGCAATACCAAAATATGTCACATTTTGGGTCATAAGACAAAATATGTCACATAAATTATAAAAATCATATAGCGTGTGTTCTCTGGTCACAATGGAATCCATCGGAAATCAGCAACAGAAGGATAACAGGAAAATCTCCAAACACCGGGCCACTGAGCAGCACTCTGTTAAGTAACCCCGGGGTCAGAGAGGAAACATCCATTGTGATCAGAATGTACATTGAATGGATGAAAGTGAAAACACAGCTAAGCTGGTGCTTCCAGTGGAACTTCCTGGCACCAAATGTTTACATTAAAAAAGTGAGAGTCTCCAATAAATCATCTAAGCTCCAACCTCAACAATCTAGTTTAAAAAAAAAAACTTAAAAAATCCAAAGCAAGCAGAAAGAAGAAAATAATAAAGAAAAAAGGATGAAATTAGGACAGAAAGATAATAGTCCATTTTTTAAAAAGCACATTCTTTACTAAGATAAAAAAAAAATTTGATTTTTAGAACCTCCACAAAGATTGAAAAAGGAAAATGAGAAAAGATATAAATGTTCATATCAGGATATAACTACAGACCCTGCCGATTTCAGAAGGACGTGGCAGGAATCCTGTGACTAACTCCATTCACATAAATTCATTAACTTAAACAGACCAACCCCTGAAGAACGCAAACTACCACACTCACCAAATATGAAGTAGGTCATTTGAATAACACATAATTATTAAGTGCACAGAATGTGTCATTTTAAAACTCCTAAAAAAGAAGTCTCTGGGTCCTGGTGGTCTCGCTGAAGAATTCTACCTAATGTTTTCAGAAGAATTAAGGCCAGTGTTACACAACCTTTTCCAAGAAATAGTAGACGTGGGAAAACTTCCCAGTTAATTTTATGAAGTATTATCCTGATAGCAAAACCAGACAAAGACAATACAGAAACAAACAAAAACTTCACAGCAATATTCCTCATGAATATAAATGTGAGACTCTTCACAAAAGATGAGCAGGTACATTCTGCAACATTAAAAGAATTAGGCACCTTAACCCAAGGCCCCAGTGAAGCGTGAATTCGATCTATCATATGAATAGAGTAAATAAGAAAAGTCACAGGATTCTATCAATTGATGTAGAAAAGCCTTTACCGAAGTCCACATATATTCATGATAAAATCTCTCAGAAAACAGAAAAGGAGAGAAAGCCTCTCAACTTAGTGAAAAGCCTCTATACAACACCCACAACCAACACCCACAACCAACACGATGCTTAATGATGAGAAATGAGGAGCGGGGCAAAGATGTCACTCTTATTCAACATCAACCCGAAAATTCCAGACAGCGAAATAAAGCAAGAATGTGGGAAAATAAAGCCTACATGTAGGAAAGAAAGAAGTGAAAGTGTCCCTGTTTCCTGATGGCATGATCATCTGCTTAGAAAATCCCAAGAAATTGACAACAAAACTTTCTATTGATAGAATTCATGAGGGAGCTCAGCAAAGTCATCGGATACCAGAGCAACACGGACACACCAGTTCTCCTCTATGAACTAGCAATGAACAGTTGAAAACCCAAATTAAAAATGCAATGACATCTTGGCTGGTGTTCCTAGGAAGTTAGAATGTTGGCCCATGCGCCGAAGGGCCTCGGGTTAGGTTCCTGGTCAAGAGCAAATACCTCAGTTGCAGGTTTGATCCCCAGGCCCTGGTCAGGGTGTGTGTGCAAGGCAACCAATGATGTTTCTCTCTCTCTCTTTCTCTCTCCCCCACTCAGTCTTCCCTGCCTTCCACTCTCTCTAAAAAATAAAATCAATGGAAAAAATATCTCCAGGTGAGGATTACATAAACGAAGTTTCTCTGCCCTGCTGGGGTAGCTCAGTCGTTGAGCATAGACTCATGAACCAGGAGATCACAGTTCAATTCCCGGTCAGCGCTCATGCCTGGGTTTTGGGCTTGAGCCCCAGCGTAAGGCATGGATGAGGCAGCCGATTGAAAATTCTCTGTCATCATTAGTGTTTCTATCTCTCTCTCCCTCTCCCTTCCCTCGCCCTGAAATTAATAAAAACATATTTTAAAAATATATATGTTCAAAACAAAATTAAACTAAAAAACAGACCCACACAAATATGCCCAGCTGATTTTAAACAAAGGTACAAAAACAAATGAGTAAGGAGACTACAAACTTTTTAACAAATAGTGTTGGAGTAATTGACATCCATGGACGACAAAAAAAAAGAAAAGAAAAGAAAAAAATTGCTCTCAACCTGAACCTCATACTTTACTTCTACAAAAATTCACTCCAAATGTAAAACATGCTTACATGTAAAATGTAAAATTATAAGACTAGAACAATGTAGGAGAAAAGCTTCAGGATGTAGGACACAGGAAAGAGGTCTTAACGCCAAAAGCATGATTCATGTGGGGAAACTGGGGAAATTGGACCTCAGCAAAACTAAAAGTATTTCTTCTATGAAAGTGCTGGCTCTTAGGAGGATGAAAACACCAGCCACAGACCAGGAAAAAGAATTTTCAAACCTCACATCTGACAAAGGACCCATACCCAGAATACTTAAAGAACTATGAAAACGTAACACTGAAAAATGTCAGCAACAATCCAATCAGAAAATGAGCCAAAGACACGGGGAGACCTGCTGCCAAGAAGACATGCCAGCGCCTGGACAGAGCTCAGTGTCACAGCCACCAGGCAAAGCCTAGAGCAGGAGGGGAGGCTGCAGCGCCTCTCCCATGGCAAACGCCCTGCAGGGAGGGAGCGGGTGCAGGCACACGGTGGGCGGGCGCAGAGGGACGCAGACAGCCATTCCGCAGAGGACCCGGGGCGGCTTCTTTCCAAAGCCATTCATGCAGCTACCCCTCCGCCTGGAACGGCACTCCGGCATTCGCCCACAGAAATGAAAACCTCCGTCCACACAGCAGCCCAGTCACGAGTGCCCAGCGCAGCTTTATGTGTGACCACAACTGGCCCCGCACAGATGTCCCAGCAGAGGACGGTTTCAACCACGGCCAGGTGTCCGCTTCAGAGAATGTCACTGAGCAATACACAGGGGCCTCCCAACACAGAAGTTGGGTGACTCTCCAGAGAACTGTGCTGAGTGAAAAAAACCAATCCCAAAGTTCCTGTGTGGCTCCGTTTGCATAACATTCTCTTTTAAAATGTTTACTTTTCCATTACAGTTCACGTGCCATTTCAGGTGTGCAGCATGGTGATGAGACCATTGGATCCTTGCAAAGTGCCCCCCAGATGTGTCCAGTGCACGCCTGGTGCTGCACATGGTAATCACGGTGTTACTATGTTCCTAGGCCTGTGGTTGCTAACCTTTCGGATCTCACAGACCAAAAGGGAAGAGGAGGGAAGCAGAGGGAAGTGGGCGTGGCCGTGAGGGGTCCTGTGGTGACAGAGATGCTCTGTGCCTCAACTGTATCCATGCCCATCTCCTGGCTGTGATTTTTAGAATGCCACAATGGCGGGGGGGAGGTGGGGGGGGAAGGGGGCCTGGGTCAAAGGCAGATGGGACCTCCCTGTATTTCTTACAACTGCATGGGAATCTACCATGACTTCAAAACCAACAGCTCTTTTACAGAAATAACGATAGTAAATAAATAATCAGGGAGAGAACTGGAATGGGAGCGCGCTCCCCCACGTGTGTCCTGTGAGTCGATGTCACTTGCTGGAGCATCTATTGTTTCCCTAACGCACGTCTCCAGCCCTGAGCACTACAAGGTGACCCCTGGAGAAACAGACTCGATGTGCGGCATTTGCCTTGGCTTCATTTCCTGTGTATCCACTCGCTTCTCCTCGTGGGCCTCTATATTCAAAGGGCATTCTCCATCGCTGCCATACAAAAAAAGCCCCATTGCTGACGACTCGGAGGTCAGTCATAACGAAACTACAACTAAAGCCGTGCAGGCCTGCCAAGGCCTCTCGCTCGGTTACAAGACAAAGCAGAAAAAAGGCTTCCGCCGGGCTCTGCAGAAATCCCTGCCCACGGCCGCTCCGGGAGCTCAGTCGTCATCTAGACCCTTGGGGGTGACCCTGCTCCTCTATGCCCACCCTTCACCCGCAACTTCCCAGGCAAAAGGCAACCTTCATCCATTAGCTTTCTCTGAGTCTTCCCACAGCCCCGTGACTCCTGCTGAACCCGGGCACGTGCTCCAATGTTAATCTGGGCCTTGTGATCCTACGTGATTGATCTTTCCCGGGGCCATAGCATGAGGGTGGCTGAAAGGCACGTTATTTTAAACCAGCCCTGACGCTGGCTCTGCAGTTCCCAGTCGCCGATGTTATCGCTTTCCTAAGTTGCATCCTGTTCCCTGTGGCACGGGGGCCGATAGCATCTCTGCTTTCCTTCTCACAGGAAGATTTGCTACGGGGACGGAGACCCGTGTCACCTCCCAGAGCACAGGCTCCAGGGCTTATCTGACAGACCTCCAGCTCTCAGCTATTTTGGAGGCTGGGAAACCAAATACGTGTATAAATACATGGTCCCGAGTGCATGGGCCCTTGTAAATCTCATTGAAGAATGCTCCCCCTGGAACTGCTATAAATAACGTTGCTATCAAAGACCTTGATAGTTAGAGTCTACTGTACGTCTTGTTTTCCAAGCCCGTGGCCTGACGTGGCTGATGCTTCTCATCCATTCACACCTTTGGTTGAGCAGGCCCATCAGCGCCAAGGGAAACGCTGCTGACAGAGCGCCAGACTGTCTTTCCTCTCGCCTCTATATCCTACAACTGGATGGCGGGCCTGGCTCCTGACAGCCATTATGGATCACAGTCAATATTTTGACAAAAGCAACAGTGGGGTTAAGCACACAGAGAATCACTAAACTCGGTCAGACCCAGTTTTCCGTGGCCTTTTCTTTGTAACTGCACGCGTGAAGATAAATATCTCATTGAGAATACAGGGTAAGAAACAAAACAAAAAACACTTTTTTCCTTAACTGACATCTCTGCACGCCTATCGTGCACAGCACGTTACATACCTTCATGGAGAGGGGTGCATCTCTAGCCAGGGAGGCTCAGCTTCAGACACAGATGGCCTGGCCCCAAACCGAGGCGACGTGAGCAGGTGGCCAGCCGCCCCTGTGCAGCGCGCTCGCGCCTCTCGGCGGAGGAGGTGTGGGAGACACCCTCCGCGGTCCCTGTCTGCAGGCGGTCTCTCCGAGGACAGAGGGGCAGGCCTGTGTCTTAGAAGATCAAAGGAAAGAGCTGGGCCTCCCATTGCTCTGCCTTTGAGTCAACTGGTGTCTAACCGAGAAAGAGCACCTTCGGAGCAGCCTGGGGGAGACTCAGAGGAGGTGAAACTTGACTGACTCAGAAATAGGAAGTAAATGATGGTCTGTGCATGTCTTAGTGTCACAATAGCAACCCGTCGAAAACAGGAAGAGACAGGCACAAAGAGGGAAAGCACTAGAGCTACAGCTCAGGACCATAGTGACTGCCGGTCAGACAGCCCTAAAGACAGACGGCCACCTGGGATGGGGGCAGCCGCCCTTGCAGCCCAGAGAGGGCTGGTGCAGGCCGGTGAGGATCGGGGCCAGCGGGGTCACCTCCTGGCTGTGGGGTTGGAAGATGCATCTTCCTGGAGCTTCTGGAGCCCAGAAGGGGCATCAAACTCGCTGCAGGTGCTGATGGTGGAGGCCTCGCAGGGACCTCTGGGATGTCGCCTCTACTCAAAGTTTTGATATTTGGTTAAATACGGAATCATTTGCATTAGTTTTTATTTTGAAGATATTTTACTAAAAAAATGATCTGATGACTGCGTTTCGAGTGCCCCTTGAGTTCTGCACCCACGGTGGCTTCCCCTCTCTCCCTGAGTGCTGGCCCTGCTCCCTGCGACTTTAGAGGGAGCCAGCACAGGGCGGTGGAGGGGGAGAAATGCAGTGATCCTATGTGGTGGAAGCTGAGAGGCAAACGGATCTCTAACTCAGAACAGGAGCCAATCGCGGGAAGCACATTTGGGTCAAGAGGGCCAGCCAGACGGAAGCCAGCCGCGTGGAGTGGCTGTGTTAGATCCTCCGAGTCCCTCCCGGGCCTCTAAAAGGGGCTGCTTTGTGATTTTTTTTCACTGGGAGAGGCGTCCTCACCCCACTGTGCTACCCATAATTCCCAGCTGGCCATGTACCTAAGCCTCATGTTAGCTGGATTGGGTTTGGGGCGGGGGGGGGGGGGGGGGGAGGTGTCCCAGGTGGCCCGGTGAGCTGGACTTTGAACCAAATTACGCAGATTCCCCGTGGCTTCAACTCCTGGTACCTCCACATCTGTGTGCGGGCATCTCGCTGGTGTGCCAGAAGCCACAGGGGGCATGCAACTGAGAATGGGAAGACAGGCGTACAGCCAGCTGCCGTCAACTCCAGCATCCCTCCCCTCCCCAGGACCCCAAAACCCACGGCCAAGGAGGAATGCCTGCCGGGCCCTGACCCCAGCATCCGTCTAAGGATTGACACTTGTGCCTCTACTGACACTAAGTGTTGTAAGACCCCTCCCCTCACCACAAGACACATGAACACACATCTGGAAGCCCCAGGAGAGAGGGTTTGGGGAGCCTCCCCGGAGGAAATGATGGATGAGCTAGGCCTTGTGGGATGCGTCAGAGTTTGATGGGCAGACGCAGCGAGAGCCTTGACCTGGTGACTCGGTAGGTTGGAGCGTCGTCCCATACCCCAAAAGGCTGTGGATTCCATTCCTGATCAGGGCACATACCTAAGCTGTGGGCCCATCTCTCTCTCCGCCTTCCTCTTTAAAACCAAGTTAGAAAAGGAAGCCTGGACATGCACAAAAGCCGAAGCCTTGCAAGCGCCCCCTCACCCCCCGCCCCCCACCTCCCAAAGGGGGAGGCCTGTGCGGCCTGGGCCATGAGGAGGGGCGGCTGGCCATGTGGGCTGGGGCAGGCCCACAGCACACAGGCTCATGCTGAGGAGACGGAGAACCAGATGCTCCAGAGCAGGAAGCTGCGAGCAGAGAGCTGTGGGGAGCAGCAGGGAGGGTGACAAGGCTCCCCGGGGCTGCGGGCGGTTCCAGGCTTCCCGGGAAGTCCTCGGGAACAGATCCGTTCCTGTCCCCGAAAAAGACCTGCAATTTGCCTTTTGTCTCCCAGTGACGGTCTGAATGCCCTTCATTAAGATAAACCAACGAAAGAGTTTCCTGCACAAGAACTTTTTAAAAATACCTTTGGTGTGGATTAAAATAAATACATGCACAAACGAGCGAGTGGATAAATTGGGCACATGCGTGCACAGGAAGAGCACTCGCAGCTGCCGCGGGAGGTCCTGAGCAGCACAGCGACCTGGGCCACCAGCTCAGGAAGGGTCCAGAGCAGCCACCAGAGGGGAGGCCCCGGGGCTGCTTGGGCCTGCGGGAGGGAGGGTGAGTGCTAATGGGCACAGAGTTTATTTGGGGGGAGCAGAGAATGTTCTGGAATTACGAACTAGTGAAGACTGCACAACTTTGTGACTAGACTAAGAACCACGAAGTTGCACACTTTAGAAGGATGAGTGTTACAGTATGTGAGTTACAGCTCAGCCTCAGAAAGGACAAGTGCTCCCTTTTCGATTGTTCTCGGTACCATGATGCAATGCACCTCTCCAGGAGCCGCAGAGAACATCCAGCTACGCCTGTGGCAGCAGTCACCAAAGAAAGAGAAATTTCCAAAGAATGGCGAACTTGCTTTCTCAGGCTTTTTTATTCCCAAGGAAACAAACAAAAAAGATATTATCACCCCCTTGCCAAAAGCCAGGCTCATTCAGGCAAAATTGCTGCCTGAAATGGCTGTTTCTCCAAACAAAGCTATCTCCATCTGAGACAAAGCAGCACACACACAGGAGCCACCGGGCCCCTGGGCTGAGAGAGGCAGGAAGGAGGATGGAGGAAGGAGGGAGGGGGAGCAGGGGCCATGCACACCCACCTCCCCCAAGGCCACACTCCTGTGGAGGTAGCACAATGATCCTGCCTTTGGGGTTCAGCCCCTGGGACCTCCCAAGCCCCAGAGTTCGTTGGTCACATGGCAGGAAGCCAGGTAGAGGGGGGCCTGGCAGCTCTGCAGGCACCACTGGACCCCCCAGGCTGAGCCTGAGCGGGAAGCCGGGGCCCAGGCCAGCTCACCAGCGAGCTGGGCTCTGAGAAGCGCTGCTCACGGCCTCGGTGAGTTGAATCGATAGTGACTACAGGTGAGTCTCCCCAGACGGTCCCCACATCCTGCCGCTGCCTCTCTCCCCTCCCCGCCTCCACTGGCCCCTTCAACGGAGCCAGGCATGGTGTCATGGTCCCAACAGGGCGACAAACAAGCGAATGACAATGGGGATCCACTTGCTGGTTTGCTCGCGGTGACACTCTCGTGCACACCGTGCAGCACAGTGAAGACCAAAGTACTGCAGGGCCAGGGGCAGCCGTCCCTCCCCCCTGACCGCCGACCCACACCCCCAACCCGGTGCCCTCAGAGGCCGCAGCACGTCTCCCCAGGTGTCACACGCTCAGCCCTCCTCTGTCCCCGCCAGGCCTCCGGTGCATCTGACCGCATGCCCTTACAGTACCGGGCACAGAGTCAGCCTCCTGTCAGCGTCTGCTGAGGGGCCTCGCTCTCTGAGCTGCCCCAGACCCTCTCTGAGACCCCCACCCTGACACCAGGTGCACCCACTCGGCCTCAAGCCAAGCGCGGGCTTCTGGGGGGACAGGCAGTGGGCCCGCCCCTCCACCCCGGGAGCGACGCTCAGGTCTTCACACAAGCCTGTCCTCCCTTCGGGTACAGCTCCCTCCTCTGCACTGTCCTTGTAGTCAGAGAGGGGCAGTCACAGCCCCGGAGAAAGGGGCCTCCGCAGCTGTGCGACCTCGCCATGGCTGTGGTCACTCGGGCGGACGGCACCGCGCCCTGCAGTGTGGTTCCCACCGGCAGCCCCCCGCCCCGGCCTCCAGGCCACGTAAGCCATGTTTTCGTTACAGCTGACGCCTGGCCAGGTTCTGATTACCCCTGGTGATGGGGTCAGGGGTCAGCTGAGTAATGGAAATGGAAACTTGCCTTCCACCCAGACTTCCTCCGCCTTCTGCAGCCGGAGCGGCCGGGGCCGCAGAGGGGCTGGCTGGATGGCCCTGGGCCCCCTGGGCCTGGCCAGCACTTTGTCCCTGGCTTTCTGGGGGCGAGGAGCACCCCCTTCCCTTCGGGGGGCTGGGCGGACACAGCGCCTCGCTCCTCAGCGGCCTGCGTGTCAGCGCCATTGAAGTCACAGCGCACTCCTTCCGGCGTGCCCCGGCTGGAATAGTAGCTGATGCATTCATTCATAACGCATTTCTGTAAGAGCCTTGAAATGCCTCCCTCAGTGTTAACTGTCTAAAGGTGTGTAAAAGGAAACCCTGGACCCCCACGGGGATCCCATTGCAGGACAACATTCACGAAACACTGTTCAATCCAAAATGTCCAGAGTCCATCACAGTCAGGCCAGTGTCCTCCGTGTGAGCCCCCAGCGCCAGGCGTGAGGGAAGGAGGGTCGACGGGAGAGCAGCTCCCTGCGCTCACTCCAAAGCTTTCCTGAACACCTACAAGGATGAAGAGGAGGAGAAGAAGGAGGAGGAGGAGGAGGAAAAGAACCAGGATGATGAGGAGGCGGGGGAGGAGAATCGGGGTCAGCACTGTGGCTTCTGGTCCAGGGGCAGGCTGGGCTGGCAGGTGTGCCTGGCCCAGCGATGTGCCAGGTGAGGAAGCAGGAAGACGCCATTGCTATTGACACAAATGGCTTGGTGGGCAGAGGACAGAAATCCACCGAGATAATGACCCTCTGGCTCAAAAGACAGTTTTCCCCAAACTGCCTCTGTCCCTCTCGCTGTGCAGCCAATGCTGTTTGGGATATAACTGCCCCTCAGCCCGTGGTGGGCGGCCGCTGTGATGGTGGCGGCTCCCAGACCACCCCCGGGGGCCTCGGCCCGGCACTGCCTCCGCGTCCATGGCCATGCCCACCCGCAGTCACACACAAAGCACGGGCCTGAGTGACTGACGGGAAAGGGTGGGAAGGGGCGCCACTCTCCCTGCAAGCCGGGCCTGCGGAGGAAGGCCTGGCGTGGCGCTGAGCGCGGGGCTCTCAAACTTCCACACGCAGGGCCCATGGCAGAGCCACAGAGGGCACCGGGAGAGGCTTTGCTGGCCTCGCCCGCTGGTTCTGTAAATTAATTTTTAAGCCGGAAAGAAAAAGCCTTACATTTCAACAATAACAAGAAAAACGGGACTACCCCTCCTCCTGTCCTCAAAAGTTTCTTCTCTGGAGAGTTTGTTTTTAAGGGGAAGAGTTTACCCACCTGGATGGGGAGCAAAATGGCTAACGCCT